CTGCTCCATAAACCTTAATAGGCAGTCGGAACTTTCAAGGCTTCGCCCTGATACGAGCAGTCTTGTTTTACTTTTATTAAAAGATTTAAAAAACATCTGAAACTCCGGAAGAACAACTGAGGTTTGCTGAAGTCAAATATCCGAATCTGTTTTTGCTGAATTTACTAAAGTAATTTACTAATATAAGCAAGGACAGCCGGTCGTTTTTCAGATAACACAAAACACAGAATGCTCCGACTGGCGTGATTTCCTGAAACCAAAAACACAAATCAAAAAAGCGCAAAATGGTGGTTTTAATTCAATACGCTGGAGAAAAAAGCAAAACCAGAGATATTTATAGACAAACTAATAAATGCAGTATAATTAAAATGAGTGTCATCATGATTGAATATGTAGAGTTAACATGTTTCGTGAAAAATGTCTGTAAATTGGGAATTTCGGGAAAATGATTCTCAACTCCGAAACAAGTTTTCTCAACACACTTTTTAAGTATTCAAATCAAAGCTAAAAAAGTCCCTTGCGAGTTTTCAATGATGTAGCCAAAAGTGAGAAGAAAAAAGCCCACCGTACGCCATATTTTTTTTCCCATCATTTCGTGAAGTGGCGGTTGAAAAAAGCCATCGTGGAGCTTAAACGTTAGATTATCTTCAATTTTGAGGCTCAAAAGATTTTAAAAAACAGCCAATACATCAATGTGTGAAAAAATCAATTAATAGTGTAGAAACCCTTAAAAATTATATTTCTTCAATTAAAAAACTTCGATCAATGAATGTTTTTTGAGTTCATTTAGTCTTCTTTCCTCAAAGTACATCCCTATGGTTAGTTTTTTTTCTGTTCCAATTTTTCAATTTTAAACAGGGATTTTTTTCAAAAAGTTTCAAAAATATTTCTATGACGGTAAATTTTTTGGAAAATATTCTGTTTTTGCGAACATGAATCGTTGTTGCCAGCAGTCTCACTCAACCCTTGTTAACTTGATCAAATTGAGCAGAAAATTGTTGAAACTCTTGCATTATTTTTAAATCTGAAAAACTGCTCTCGATATTCGCTCAGAAGATTTCGTTTCTGTGTGGTAAGGTATTAGATTATTTCTGTTTGGCTGTTCAACTAAAACAAATGCTTTTTTCAATTTTTCAAGCCAAAATCATGCATGTTCTGAGCATATTTTTCAAAACAAAAATAGACTATAAAGCTTGGAACAAAGTTCTTGAATAAAGAACCGAAACAACCAGTGCTCGACCTCAAACAAAATGCAAAATGCTCTTCTTTGGTCCAGACATTTCGAGAATATTTGGGCTGGTTTGAGTAAATTAGACAGTTTTTTTGGCTGCTAAAATCAAAAAATCAAATCATACCTGAGCTCGTTCAAGCAAAATCAAGCGCTTTTACTTGGCCGTTTAACGCATAAGACCAGCGCTGTTTTCTTTTTCCTCAACTATCTTTAATTAAAAATTCTGGAGACTTTTTTATGTTCAATGAGAGAAATTTTTTGGATCGTACTCGTTTTTGGTCCAGCCGATCCAAAATTACTTAGCAACCACCCACCCCACTCCAACCCAACCCCCTCCTCTCCCCTCCTCTCGCACCCCTTCCATTACCCCCCCCCTCTCGTACCCCTTCCATTACCCCCCCCCCTCTACCCCCCTCCGTTACGGCGCGTAGCATCAAACCAATGAACTGTGGCTTGGTTATTCAAGTACTTTTCATTAAAAATTTTCACAATATTATTTTTTGGTCCATTTGGCCGATTGTACATGCAAGTTGTGGCGGCGACTTCTGAACTGTTGTTACTCTGGCTGCTTGTCATACGTATATGGGAACTGAGAGCTGGTGATTATTGGATTTATTGTTTGTTGTTTATTGCCGACGCCTAATTTAGATTAGAAGGTGTTTTTATTACGCAGCTAGTTAAATATATAATTCTAGTGGCTAGTAAGTCTGCGTAGTCTAACCAACTACAGTTGTTCACGACACCGACAAAGCAGTCATTCAAAGTTAATTTAAACTCGGGACGCTCCATTGATTTGTGAGTTTTATGAAGAGACTTTAAGTAATAGTTGAGAAGTTTGCGACCAATAGTTTATTGCCAGATAAATTACGATCATGAGCCAGCTTTCAGTTGGCTGGCAGAGTATAAACGGAATACGAAAGGTATTTGCAATCAGCGTAAGAGCAATGACGGCTTCTAACTCCGGCTGGCCTTTGATGTTTGCCGACTATTGTCCCCCATGTCAATCTTGTCAGCTCGGGCCAAATTCAAACAAGATTGATTTCGTGAGAGCGCCACTTAATCATTTCACCGGCCTTTGAAGTCGCCGACAGAGCCAGTAAATTATTCTCAGGTCTGCCATTTGTCTAAACTTGAAGCTCGTGCTTTTAAGCTTACCAAATTCACTGATTTCTGGTCTTTCAATCGCACAGATGTGGTACTCAAAATCCAGCGACTGGAACTAATTTAAAAGAGCAGTTTGTTTCTTTTTGAAGTTTTTTACCTATCCGCCTGTGAAAATTTTTTCAAATTTTGACAGCTGTCAGTTTGCATTGACGAGAAAACACCATTTTAATAACGCCTTGATCAAGTCAGCTGAATCTTCCATAACGGCAACTGTGATTGGTCCGAAAAGCTAGTGTTAGAAATGAACGAATTGAGTGTGGTGTATTATTTACTGGGGAATATTTTGAGCAACTTTGATGTAACTGGTGTTTTACTGGCATTGGTTGTCTGTTAGAACGCTCTTTTTCCTTTGATCTCGGGCGGAAAAGGCAGATCCGAATTTGTTTCATCTCAGTGACACGTTGCGAGCAGGAAGGCCTGAGAAATAATTTGGAGCCAGAACGTTGATCGATTTTTCCTTCCAATCATCTAAAAAATAGGGGAGTCTCCCTGATCTGAAATCCGCCTGCCTAGTCGTCACTCCCAAAATTCAGACTAATTTTCATTCATTCTCTTCATTCAACAGTTGCAGCAACTATAAATTGGCAACAAAAAACAAACAAAATTGAGAATAAAAATTACTGCCTCTACCTATCAGTAAAAACAATATAACCAAAATGACACTTAGTCGGAAAATGTCAGCCGACTTGGAACAAGAGTCGAATAACGCATCAGCCGAAGAAATTATCTCTGAAAATAACAACTCCTGTTCGCCCAAGGAGTCCAAAGACGTCTCCCGAACGACGCCAATTGCGCCCGAAATCAAGTCGGAGCCAGATTCAGACTCGAAACCAGCAAAGCAGAAACCTACCCAAATTTCGCCCTCTCTGGCTGGGTCGAAAACTACCCTTCTCTCTGCCAGATCTCAGATCGAGATTTTGAACCCAAACGAGCCACAAGAAAACGGAACTGTGAGTATATTTTTACTTCAGAAAATAAACTGGGAAATCCAAAAATTCCATTGAAAGAATAAAACGAAAAGTTAGGGGGAAATTACGGCTTACATTTGGGAAACAAAATAAGTTCTGCTATATTTTTTTAAAAATAATAATTAGAAAATTGGTTTCAGTTCGACAGCAAAAAGAGTCCACTGGCTCTCCTAGCCGCGACCTGCAACAACATCGGCAAGGATTGTTCGCCTCCGAGCTCCAACGCGCCCCCAACTACCGGATTTCCATTCTATTCCCCATCGAACGGACGAGCCCTCTCATGTAGCAGTCCCCCGATGGGCGAGCTGAAGCTACCTTCGCCCCTCAGCCAACATCAAAACAGCAGAATGCGTTTGTCAAGCGAACCCGAGCAACCTCCAAACTCAAATTCCGGAGTCCATACTGCAACTTCAATGCCCTCCAGTATTTCGAAAGTTTTCAGCAATAATCCTCCCCCATCTCTACTTAAATACATGGAAAAATTATCCCCAATTTCGGCGGGAAACGCAGCCGCTGCAGATTACAGTCAACAACTCCAGGCTAAGTTTGCATCCGCTCTGGCGGCGAACAGCGCAGCGTCCGGAGCCCAGAACTTACAATCTAATCTTCTGGACAGTTATGATCCTCTAAAACTGGCCGCTGCAATTCAACAAGCCAAAAATGCAGCCGCCGCTGCTTACATGTTCCCGTCCTCCGGAAACACGCCAAACCCTCTCTCCGCTCTGGCTAGTCTGACATCGGGGAACCCAGTTTCAGCTCTTCAGTCCTCAGCAAATGCTGCACTATCCGGACTTAATTCCTCAATGGGAGTGAACTCCGGAAACACGACCGCCGGTGGTTGCCAAATGTGTCCACCCGGTCAATTCATAGCTGGCGGAGGTCACTCGCCCTCAAAGCCAGGCGCCGGCTCACCGTACATTACCTTTGTTCCTGTCAAAACCTCTTCCGGAAGTACAGCTTTAGTTCCAGTTTGTGCCGACCGGGGGTGCTTAAACTGCATCACAGCTATAAAACAAGCCCAGTTGAGCTCCCACGGAGGTAACGGGAACTCCAACTGTAACCACTGCAATAACGATCATCACTCTAAAAGTCTCGCTTCCCTTGCTGCAGCATCAGCGCAGCTCTCAGGAGTTGCGGGACCCCCGACATCTGCCGGGAACCTACCAGGGTCTCTTGCGTCCTCCAACAACTCATCAGCAACGGCCGCCGCTCTGCTTTCGAACCCGCTTTTGAATCCCTTAAACATCCAAGCAGCTTTACACGCGTCTCCGTCATTGGCGTCTCTTTACCAGCAGCTAGCAGCCGCACACGCTTCCAGTGCCGGCGCTATGCCCATGGATACCTCGCAACAATCACCTGGTAGCATTGGCGGACCTTTTGGTTCCGCCGGATCCATTGACGCGACCAACAGGGGAGGCAATTTTAGCTCACCAAAGCCAAGTTCCATTTTAACGAATCAGGACTTACATCGATGCAAATGGGCCCCAATCGGAGGCGGTCATCCGTGTGGCAAAGCTTTCACGTCGGCGGACGATTTAATGGACCACATCAAAGTTGTTCACATGAGCGTTAACAACAATTCCGCTTCGTCAGCCAATCAAAACGCAGTAATCAACTCGTCTCCCACTTCGGTTTCATCAGCGATTGAGGAAGCAAACGCGTTGCAACATCTCGTCAACCAAAACCGTCGGCTTTCTCCTTCGGTCGTCGCTGCATCACAAAATCCGATGACTAATCTAACTCTGACATCAACCAACTCGTTTCTTGGGAGTCTTAGCTCGCTTACAGCCGGGAACCCTCTAGCCGCGGCGGCGTCCCTAACCAACTCGCTCAGTCGTAAGATGCCGGGATCCCTGGATCTAGCTTCGGCACTGTCGGCAGCGGCCAGGTACCATCCCTACTCCAAGTTTTCACTTCCTTCGCTTTCCGGAAACTCAGTCGCGACTAGTCTTCCAACGTCGATGTCGAATCTCGGACACCTTGGAAACGGCCAGCCCTCACCGAACCTCGCGGGATTGACTCCCGCGGGTTTGAACGCGTTGCTAAGCAGTGCTGCCGCGTCCAGTTTCCTCATGTACGATTTGCCGAAAGCTTAAGAAGCCGAATGAAACTTCAAGCCGAAAAAACGAGAATGGACAAATGCGAATTTACAAATTTTACTTCTCCTATACTTGGTCACGTGTTTTAATGTTTATTCCAGCCCGGATTTATCGAAACAGTTCTTTAATTTGGATGATTTTGCTAAAATGATTGCTGGTCACATTTTCCAAATCACCAGATTGCTTGGAGTTCAGAAATGGGATCGTCTCAAAAACTCATATCGCTTTCAAAGCGATTCTTAATCAGTTTTGAAATCTCAACAAAATGGATCACAGCTTTAAAACTGGAAACTGACTTTTAACAGATAAAAGTCTTGAGTGTAGAAAAGCTTTAAAAAACTTTCAGTAAAATTTAACTTGTTCACAATTTTTCCAAGATGGTTCGATAGCTTTATTTTAAACTGCATACATAACTTACTGCTATATTTAGTTCATTATGGATAAAATAATTGAAACTATTCAAAATTTAGATTTTTTTTCAATCATTCAGTGCTGGTGTTATAGCTTCCGCTACGGTTTCAATTAGGGAAGATTTTCCTAATGACTTCAAAAATTGTTGATGTCTTTCTCATCTCTGATGTTTACCTTTGATAAGAAAAAGTGGGGAAATAAGCACAAACAAACTGAAATTCTCAAGTAGGTATTAATCGCTGGGATGCCCGAAGGAAAGCTTTTCCATAAGATAAGCATGTCACGACATTAATTAAATTTCGCAAACATCTTCAAATTCACTTTCAAAAATGTCAATCATTTGACAAGTACATATATTAATGTCCTGACAGAAAGGAAAGATGAGCAAATAATCGAATATTTGTTTTTTGAGGAGGTTTTATTTTTAGGCATCCATATTTCTTAGACTCATTAAACGAAAAAATTGACCATTTCATTTTTTCCAACAATTTCATTAAAACTGAAATTTCAACTACAAGTAAAAAAAATCAAGTGCCTGCGTGTTGTTTGTTGTGACTTGCATTGAAAAAGGAAATGGGAATTTAAGGCGCTACTCTTTAAATGCTAGTTAAAATGATCGACATTTCTTAAGTTTTTAGTTTCAGATTGCTTGTCTTGAAGTTAAGTGCTAGTCGCCCATGACAAGAAACACTTCAAATGTACCATCGAAACGTCAATTTTGTTAAACAAATAATGACAATGCTTAGCATATTAGACATTAGCAAACTGCTAAAAGAGGAAAAATTAAATTTTATTATTGTTCCGACTTCAATTTTTCCAACTGGTTTTTAAGAAACTCATTATTCGTGAAACCGTTTTTTTGCTTTCATTTGTGGGAGGAGCGAAGGTCTGTTCTGCAAGCAAAGAGAGCAATTGATCTTCAAACAAAAGCTAGTTTTTTCTTGGGATTAATCAGTGAAATTTGAACAATTCGCCTTTCTGGGTAGATTCAATTGAAATGATGTCGGCAAAACAACTTCAAACGAGTACTGACATTTTGATTTGACAATTTAAACAGCGAGCAACACCTCTAAGTGTTGTGCGGTTGCTGACTTGATTAAAACGGGGATACAGTTTTATTTGATGTGACTTTTTCAATTGAACTTGAAATGAAGCACGCTCTTTCAATCTGTTAAATAGGTTTCACGCATCGTTAAAACAAACAAAGGCTGATTTTTTTTCTCTTCACGTTTTCTGTCATCATTTCGACGGCTTTTTCTCAAACTAAACAAAAAATAGATTGTGGGAGGTTTCGATGAATGTCGTCTTTTTAAGAACCTATTTCACTTTAGACTGACTTTTAATTTGTTCGTCGGTTCCGCAATCACACAAATATTAGATTTAGGATGAAAAATTTTGGGATTTTTTTGTTACGAAAATGAATCAAAGCACGAATTTTGCCCTTTGACTTTTCCGTAATATTAGAGATAGCCCGAATATGTTGTTATTTATATTGAGTGATGATAAACTATTTGTCCTATTCGAGTTAACTTATTTATAGTCTTATTTTCTGTCAATCAATTGCAGCAGCTACCGAATTGACGTATTTTTGAATCCCTTAAGGATATTTTTACTCTTCTCCTGACAGATTAGTGTCCGTATCCAGGTACTGCAAATTTCCAGGTCACAATCAAAAAATGGCTCATTGAAGCCATCGATTTTTTTTGATCAGATGCTATTTTCTGATTTTTTAAAATTTAAAAAACGAGTCGACGTTTCAGCAGTGTGTTAACAAAATGCAGTTTTTTTTTCTTTTTGCTTTCAGACATTCCTCATGATTTTCAAATTTAAAATTTTTAATATTTTTTTTCTACTGACAGTGTCTTTTGATCTTTTTTAACGATAGCCAAAAGACTCCAAGATTTCTGATAGTTATGCATTGAGACGTTCCATACAAGTTCTCGACTATATAACCAAGGACACTTTTTGTTTACGTGTTCGAATCTAGGCTGAACCATCGAATAGATCGTTGACCTTTTGAAGTTAGCCCTATTTTATCATCTTCCTGAGATCTTCGATGATGAAACAAAAACAAAACAATCTGGCTTCACTCGTAAACAAAGTCACGATCTATATATTTGAAATTTAAAAAATTGTACGGTATGAAACGATCATTTTTATGTGATGGTTATGGAAAAACAACATGTGGGTTTTGAGAACCCCATCAGAAAAAAAATCGGGTCGCTTGAAAAACCAAAACAAAAGTTGTTTTGGTTTTACAAGCGACCCGATTGTTTTCGGAAGGTTCTCATAACCCATATGCTGTTTTTCCTTAATAATCACATAAAACTGTGAAGAATAGGCTTCATAACTGGGTTATGAAGATCAACATCAACATCAACACCGTTTCTCAACTGCGAAACTATTGCAGTTTGGGCGCAAAAAAAACCAAAATATTTGTTTTTATGATACATTTTATAAAATGACGCATTTAAAAAAATGCAAGGAACGTAAAAAACGGGCATACGTAATTTAAAAACGTTCATTTTTCAATAGTTTAGATTTAAGATTAAGGGTACGTTTTGTCGTCTTCATATATTGAATCAGTTGAATTGATTATTGAATAAACTACTAAAAAACATTTTTGACGACATTAGAAAGTAAATCATTAAAAAAAGTCGGAGCAAAAATGCCCAAAATGTTTTTGCTTGTCCAACAAGTACTTTGGTTTTGTCACTCTTTTGCCAATTCTATCCATTCAAGATTTATTTTCGGCTTTGAGTCCCAAATTGTTCAATCAAAAAAGTATGTTTATCTCAAAAAAAAAACACAGGCAAGAGATGTATACAAACAATTGGATATTTTATTTTCCTAAATTGAGAATCAGACAAAAAAAGATCAAAGACTAGCCTCGTACTTTTTGAAAGGCTTGGCGTGGACTACAAGTGGTGCTAAAAATTTGAACAGTGTTTCGAAATTGATTGTCCATTTACTTCAGATTTCGTTCAGCCGCCTTACTTAATTGACCCGCTTAGCTAAATTAGCCCGACTAGGTGTTGTAAGGTTTCCTCTTTTCCGCTCAATTAAATCTCGAGATTCTTGTCGTTTATTAAACATCCTTTCAGTTTTTTCTGATGATGCTCATATTTTGATTTCCGGTGATGGCTTTTTGAGAGCTTTGAATTATTCACTTGAATCAAAGGTCCTATATTGGCTATTCATTGTTTCTAGAGTTGATTTGGGCCATCTTGCTTCGAGCTCAAAAACAAAATAAAGGAGGAAAATTACCAATAAATTAACTTTTCGCAGCATTTTCTCCGAAAACGATTTTTTGTGTTTTTTTCTGAATGCATAATTGCTATTTTAAGAATTTTTTAAATTGCATTTTTAAATGCTTTTCCGAAAAAAGTTATTTATTTTTATGAGATAGCAAAACAAAAGACAAGCGTTTTCAATCCACCCATTTAATTGCGAAAATGTTAGATATTTTGGGTGAACAAAGATAGCAACGAATAATAACGATAGCGGCGCAAGATGAGTAAAAATGAGATCTCGCGATTAGCCCACAAAGTACAAATAGACTACAGGAATGGGAAGAGTAATGAGGGCTATTTTGTCAACAAGGCGGAGGGGGGGGGGTGAATGTCCCGAGAGCGAGAAACAAGGGATAAAAAAAGAATAAGGGGCGATATGGGACTAGTTCAAAGGGAGCGGCTTCTTAGATCAAAGCAATCAATCAGACACTTAGAACCGCCCTCGCAAGGAACCGCAGCCCGTGTTGTAACAAATATCATCACGCGTCCGATCACACAATGGGAGGGGTCAAAAATAGCTCCCTTTGATAGTTACACATATTTTCCTGTTCCGAAAAATGAGGAAAATTCAGATAAATTATGGAAAATTTATGAATATGAGAAACTGCTTTTCGACCCGAACCCGCCCATGTGAAATATAAGTTCCCAAAAAGCGGGTAAAAGGAATGAAAACTTCTTTGATCCAGGGCTAATTATGATGTGAATAAGCATTTGAACCTGTTATAATCCCTTATTTAGCTTCTAAAAATTTATGCAAATCTTGTCTTATTTTTTTCTTTAAATTTCCGCGGGCATAAAAGCGAATATTTAACGCCTGTTAATTTTAACAGGCAGGCCTTAAGATGTTATAAAATGAGGAAAACGCCCTGTTTGGTGTAAAGTTTCCATAAAATTGTTGTAAAACGTGAACTTTCCCCAAATGTTTGTGAAAAGCAATTATTTCAAACCCAACGCCTTTTGCGCACTTGGCTAACGCAAAACAAATTGGATCACTTTTTGGTCACGCCTTTTCTGAAGGAAGATTTTCTCATCAGCGCCAACGGGAGTTTTAACCCCAGTTTTATTTCAGTATTTCCCCACCCAAAGCGACCCGCCAACGCCCACGAACGGATATTGTTTACAGTAAATAGCCAGATCCCGCCCATTGCGTGAACGCGTTTCCTTTCAAGTCTTTGTTGGGTGAAATCTATACCCGCGAGTCATAGCAATTCGCGCAATCGATCACAATAGGAAATATAATGTATTCATTTCAGAGTTGGGCCCAATAGAAATTGTCGATATTGTTAGCTGCAATTAAAGGCATAGCGGAGCCTCATTAGCGAAAATTATATCAATAGCAGAGATGTTGAGTCTTTAGAAAATCGACACAGAGCTGCCTAACTAAATTTCAAGGGGTAGAAATTTGGAAAAATAAGGAGGTTTTTCTCTTCCCTAGGGTGCAAAATCTAAACAATCGAAAGCTGAGATCATTTAGCGATCATTAATTTTTTATTCAGAGGGTGTTTAAAAATCAGCATCGACTATCTGATATCAAAATTAAAGTCAAAACTATCATTCAGCGAAAAAGGAAATTATGTGTTTCAAGACAAGGAGAGCTCGAAGATTTGAGCGCAGATTTTGCGGAGCTGAGAAAAATTATAGTAGTTTCTGGCTAACAGGCATTTTGACCAGAAAATTGTTATAACCATTCAAACACGCGCTAACGAACGACAAACCAGTTGTTCAAAATTTTATTATGAAACGCTTCTGAGGCCTTTTGTCTTTTTTTTGTGTTGAGATAAGTTAACTGAGAGTGAAAGATCCTAGCTACTAAACTATCGAGTTCTGTTAAAAACACAGTAAATACAACCACTAATTTGGTTGCTCAGCCGTCGTAAAAGCCTGCATTCGTCTCAGTAGTTTTTTTTTTTAAATTTCAAGTCGAACTCAGCACCCAAAATCTCTACTAATACAAAACGCTAGATCAAATGTTTTTGTTTGTTCCAACTTGGAACAAACAAAAACATTGAATTACCCGCGGATTGGGTAACTGTATGGCCTAGGATGAGTTTTGAACTCACGCACAGGTACCTCAAAGTAAGCTCCCCAGATTTCGGCTGTGATATCATATCAAAAAATTTTCAGTCGCAATTCGGTCTGCATGATTTTGTGCTTTTCAGGCAAAATTACTGCAGAAGTACTAGATGAGTAAAATGAATTTCTCTGATTTTTTTTGCATTATATGAGCCATTTTAGGCACTTTTTTGAATCTAAATTTTAGTTGTCCAGCTGCCTCAAATTTATCACAAATCTATTTAATTTTTTGATCATGATTACTGTCGGTGGTTGGAGCATTCTATGCTGCTTGCTCAGCAATCGGATACCTCTCTCTTTATATCAACTTTTTAAGTAATGGGTTCTAAATTGTTGTTTTTGAGAAAAATGGCAGCTAACGGAAACACTGTGGCAAGTTTTGTAAGTAGACTGAAGTTTTCTGGGCAAATGATGATAATGCTACAATTTTGTCGAAAAAAAACTAATTAATGATATCTATTTCTGAATGATTGCTTAAATTTCCAAAGCAATCATCTTAAAAAAATATCGGAAGACACATTCAACCTAGCAGGAATTACACTTAGCAGAAATACCACAAAAAAGTATTCACTTTTTTCAAAATAAAAACAATCGAATTTTTTTTTTTCAAAAAAAAATGTTTTGTATTTGATCCGACAGTTTTTGGTTACTTGTTTTTGATAAAAGTATTGAATTAACAGTTTCATGCAAAAAATATTTGTGAAAATTATAAACGATTACAAAATTGGTTCGTTATTTAATAGCAAACACAAAATCAGTCTGAATTGTAATACTTGGATACTTTTATCTCGAATATTTTATCGCACAGAAAACTCTCTAAAAGATATATTCTGCATAGACACTAGTACCTAGAGAATAGCACCTAGAGTAAATTCACCAAAACATGCATTCTAAATAGACAATATTACACATTGATTTTTTTGATATTAATCATAGTTTCCACCCTTTGCAAACGGAGGAGGAACTTGTACTCGGGTGTGTTTCAATTTTTTCTTAATGTGTTTCACACAAAATTAAAAACCCAAAAATAATCATCGGAATGGGTTGAAAGGTAAACCAAAACGAAATCAGTCGGGCTTCAAACAATTTTAAAATTTTTTAAACAATTTATTGCAGATTTGAGAAAAACTGGTTGAAAATTTTTGGTTTGTTTTTCATTTTCGAGCAAATAAATCTACCGAGCAGGCTTACAGTGGCTTATTTATGCTTAATATAAGCCCTAAAAGTTTAAAAGTAAGCAGGTATAATTAATTTTAGGTTTTTAGCGCCATTTTGGCAAGCAAAACTGGTAACCCAAAATTCAAACAATTTCTGCAAGAAAATTTGATAAAAAAGTTGTGAAATTAAAATTTTTTTTTCTTGTCATTTTCTACAAAACTTATTTTGCCCAATTTGCCCTTAGTACTACGACTGTTGAATATGTTTTCATTATAGTTGTACATCAGATCTTTTTATCACGGCACGCAGAAAAACTACACTAATTTGAAATAAAAGAGTTATTTATGTAGTTTTTCAAAGACTACGGTCGGAACATACTGTTCATTTCTTTGTCAACTTTTTTTTCTTTGAATCTCAAAAAATGAATTAACTTCATTTCTGACGTGTTAATTTTAGGCATTTCAGGCTTTGATTAACTAATTTACAAACCTGCAAGCAAAAAACAATACAAAATTTAGCAGCGCTCGATTTCAAGATGTCCTGTGTACTCAACTTATAGAACTCTTAGCGGCGAAAAAAGATTATTTGTCAAATCTACTTTTTTGATTTTTGAGCTTTTCCAAAAACTTTTCTCTATTGCGGTGAGTTGTTAGCGATTAACTTCAAGTTTGAAGAAAAAATTTCTGGACTAAAAAGTTGGTTTTACTATAGAAAAATTATAATGAATTGTATTCAACCGGTTTCCTGTTTTAGCATTTTGGTTCAAATTCCGGAGAAGAAACTATTTATTTTTCTCTTAAACGTTACCGTACCGTGTTCAGGGGTAACGTTTCACTTCATTAAAATATTGATGGTTTTCTCGTTTTAAATACCAACTTTATCCCAAAAACTAATATGCCTCAACCTATTAACATTTACAAAATAAATTAAGTTTTCTTCAGTTGTGCAGGTAAATGATGCAAATTGCTTTTATGCATTTCATTTCATATCCAATTATTCATTTTCAGCAGAAAATATTAATTTTCTACTTGTCAAACAAATTTTCAGCCGCCCCTTTTGCTTGAAAAAATTATGAGCGAGAACTCTGTCTCCTGACGAAAATTAATTAGGCGTGAAATTTATCACAGAACTTCTGCATTATCGCATTAGTACCGATTGATGAAATATGACGGGCACGGAAGGCATCAGAACTTTTAATGTATATCAATTACAGCTACCAAATTGTATTAAGTATTGATAGCGTGTAAATTTAACCGGCCAGAAATAAAAACGGAAATTCAATCCGCTGAATTATAAAAGAAAAAGAAGAAAAAAACGACTTTTCTGACTTTCATTTTCTCTTTTTAATTGCTCGAGTAACTCGATTTTTTACAGTCAATCAAACATCATAAAAATATCTTCATGTCATGGCGAGTCATTTAAGCTTCGATGGTTGACGTAAATTGAGACAATTTCTGACATCTGCCCTAGATTCAGAGCCGGCCATAATTTCAGATAGACTTTCACAAGTAGGCCAACTATTCAACTTTTAATGACTCTTAAGAATTAAAGAACCTTCTCAAACATTTCATTTATAAAAGACATCGGAATGTATGACTTATCCTCTTGAAACAACTTGAAGCTAATATTTCAATATGATAGATTTAGTATTTTACAAAAATTTTCATTTTTTTCCAGTTTTCGGTGGAAAAAATTATCGATTTCAGATTTTTCCAGTTTTTCGACATAAAGTTATTGAAATTGACTATTGATTAATTTAGAATACTTTGCCGAACTAGAATTTTGCCCAAGTTGTTTGTCAACACTTGCTGCTTATTTACTAAAGTATCCTGGAAATCCATATTTGCCTAAAAGTAATCCAAGTATTGAAAAAGCCATCAGAAAGTTCACAAAAGAGGAAATTGAGAGGAAATATCATCAATTGTCTGATTGTTAAAGTATTAAAATGTATTACAGGTATTACAAGTTATAATAAGTTATTACGAGTTTGGGGAGTTCCCCTCCTCTGTGTCTTTTCCTTCCGTATTCCCCTACTTGCTGAATTTTCCAGCCTCCCTTTTTGCTCATTTGCAGACCCGCCCTCGAGGGGTTCCCGTAGCAGGCAGTTCTTACAAATGGCATGTAGCAAGTATGATAAATGTGCCGCTGTTTCGACATCAGACCCGCCCTTTAACCTGCCGCGTGATCACAAATCAATCCTAAGTGCCACTTCTAACCGAAATCTCACACAACCTAATCTATTCAATTTTTTTTATAAACAGTTTTCAAAAAAAAATTCAGTTAAGTTGTATCCAAATGGTTTTTTAAAAAGCTTCAATGATTGAAAAATGCCTATTATTTGTAAAGGTTTTATATTTTTGCATTTTGTTTTTTGTTTTGGTAAGTTAAAAAATGGGTTCGATTCGTCAGTATGCGATTTTCGGCAATATGCGATTTAGGCTAGACGGCGCTAAGAGTGATAGTTTCTGGTGGTTTGTAGAGGTGTATTGATTTAGACAGAGGGAAACGCCCAAAATGTCTTTCTCTTCTAACTACTCAAGTTGCGATGTGGAATTAGCAAGTGGGCTATGGCAAATTCAGTCGGAAGGGCGGAACAAAATTATGGAAATATTGGCGGGCGGGCGGGTTACTTACGAAACTAGTTAATATATGCATCCCAATACCCCTTTTTTAAAGTATTTTTAATGCTGTTAGCTACCATGTTTGAAATTTAATATCCTTCTGACAAAATAAATCTCTGAATATTGAAGAAAATAAATTTAAAATCAATTCAAGTTTCTGCATCTCAAATATAACAAAAAAACTTGAAATTTCTATTGAAAATCACGTTCAATTCGAATAATGTTTAAAAAGTTTTCTTGAATCAAAATTCTCCAGGTGGAGAAAAGAGCCACAATTTCTCTCCAAAAATGGGACGGCGTCAACCAGGCCCTTTTTAAAGTTTTTCCACTTGAAATTTACTTAGAGTCCAAAATAATTTATTTTTATTCATACAGTTTTTGTTCATCCAAACCACTCTGATCCGACATTCTGAACGCAGGTGAAAATATATCATTTAATAAGTATATCGAAATCACAAAAGTCCAGACAAAAAACACTTGATGATTCAAAAAGGAAAACTATTGGAGCCTTTTACCCCTTAAACCAAACTTGAGCGCAGAAAAATTTACAGTAAAAATTGACAAAAAAGCTCCTTACGAAAGTAAATGGTCCAGAACTCATTAATATTTATTTTCTGACAAAACTTGTTTTAAAGTTTTTGAAAGAGAGAATTAAATAAATAAATCTTTTAAATGTTCTTGATTAATATAACATCAAAAAACAAAAAACATCTTCAATTCCATATAAAAAGTATCCTTTCAATTCTCTTTTAATAAAATCATGTTACCGTCGAATAAGATAAATTAGCTCTAATATTTTCAACTCATTTTCAATGAAACGCCAAAAAAACTTGGGAATTGTCAATTAAAGATCAATTTTTATCCCAGCTCTTTCAACTTAATCTTTTGATGAAAGTATCTTCTAGTACAAAAGAAGCTATTATTCACCGTTCAAGCGGTTATTGAACAAATTGCGTCGAAATTGAAACAACAGGATTTAAGCAGATGTTTCGGAACGATCAATTTTTGTCATTTTATATGGTCGACGCCCCCATTTTTAATGATTTCTCAATAAAAAAATGAGCTCTTGAGTCAATAATTGATAATTATAAGCATTTTTAGCTAATTTTTGCGTTGTTTTTTGCATTTTTGACATTTTGAACATCATGACACCATTTTCGTTACGCCTCAAACCAATTTTACGTGTATTTGATATTTCAGTTGTCAATCAAAACATTTCAAACAAGATTTGATGCAATTATTGACAGAGGCTGCTGATAGAAAAAATTCTGCTAATAGTGTTTATCGTTTGGTAAATTTGCGTAAACAATATTTTAAAATAAAAACTAGCCTTATAAGAAAATACAAAACAAGACTATGTTTCAGTGTTCTCTTTAAAAAGATTATATGTTCTCTTTATTTAATACACTTTGTTCTATTTTTGAGATTTTTTTTAATCGTACCTCCCACGCAATACAAATTACAAAGTTTGAGATTTTTCAATCGTTCCTCCTACGCCATACAGATTACAAAGTTAAAGATGTTGCTCTTAGTATCGTAGTAATTATGACAAATAGCCTGCTTCAATCAATTTCGAAGTATTTCTCAGACGGATTTAACCTCCGCCAACGCGTTGATAGCGCGAATAATATCGCAACCCCCAAAACGATCACAGGTGGAATTTTTTTGAATTGAGCTTATGACAGTATTATTTTTCAGATGATAAAAGAAACTTTGTCAAAAACAGTTAGCTAAAAATTCGAAGTTGGCAGAGTGTAAAAACCCTCCTCGAAAATCTCAACAACAGGGTTGTGCACATCAAAATAAACTGAGTTGCTTTCGCGCACCCTTCTACGTAAAGCAAGAATAATTTGAATTAAAACGCGGAGAAATTTCATATAAAAACTTCGATAACATTTCTTTGAAGTCTACAATTTCTTTTGAATTGAAATTGACATATAGTGGGGCGGGGTTCGACAAACTTAAAATACTTAATATTCTTTAAATAGCGAAATTAGATTGTACTCTCTTACATAATTGTAACCTTTACAATGATTTTTTTGGAGTTGTGATTTTCAATGAGATTGGAAGAAGACAAATGTTGTTTTTTGAGTATTGATGAGTAATTTTCAATTTAAACAACATTTCAAAATTTTCGATGAAAGCCTCAAAAATGAACAAAAAAACCAAATGTTTTTTGAGGTTTTTTTTTGAAAACATCACCTACACGCTATGTCAGTTACAAGTAAAACACTTCGCATATAGCAAAGTTTTGATTAGTCCAAATAGCATGCCTCAAATCTATGTAGAATGATATCTAAGATGGGTTAAACTTCTGTTTTGGCGTTATTAGCACAAAATATATCGCGCGTTATTGATTCCAAATTGGCATTCATTAAGCCCCCATAAATTTACAAAAATTGATTACAGAATAATTAAATAAACTTTTTCTTTTGAACACAGGACAAAAAAAATACTTTTAAATTATAGAAGAAAAATTGTCAAAAAACGTTCTGTCAAAAATTGCTAGTTAAGAAGTCGAAATTCGTGTGGAGGAAAACAAAGCATCCAGAGTACAAGTTTTCCGCCACTTTCTTCAAAAGTTTGGGAAAAAAGTTAACTTTAAAAATGCCGAAAAAAATATTATACCGTTCAAAAAGAACCAAAAAATCAATATACCGTTCAAAAAGAACTAAAAAGAACCATTCGTGAAGAGCAGATAAAGTTTCCAAAACTTATCGCTGACTTAAAAACTCAAAGTGGTGGACGTATTTTTTTTGAAAACTTGCCCATCCTCCTCGATCAACTTTTTAATCGGCATCCGAGTTAAACTTTTAGAGTCCCTTCTCCCCAAGACTCAACCGCTTGAATTTTTTTCGACCCACCAGGCCTAAACTTTCTCAAAGCCCCTTTGGCACTAATATACATTAAATTTGAGCAAAGAGCGCGTTCAAAAGAAACCATATTTTAGGCCAAAACTCTCAAAATTGCGCAAAATGTCATTTCAAAGCGTTTTTTAACGTCCTTTTTAAAAATTTTATCAGATTATTGAGTACTAGCAGGTTTTCAAAGCTAAGGTTATCCAGTTTGGAACAAGTTCGAAGAGGGATTAAATAAATCTCCGCTTAAAAACTCATGGTCTTGCCCTAATACGAGCAGCTATTCTTGTTGTTCCGACTTTCGATACGAGAGTAACGGAATATTTGTGCTCGGGGTGGGTTTTTTTTTTTCTTCAGACAAATTTCGACTTTTTAACTAGCCATTTTTGACAGGATCTTTCTATATCATTCGAAAGGCTTTGTTGTCCTGAGCTTAAATTTGAAAAGATATTTCACCTGTGATAATTTTTCGTAAAGTTATGGGGGTTTAAAGATAGCCATTTTGGCCAATTTGGGACAATTAACGCGCGATATATTTCGCGCTATTAACGCGTAAGCGGAGAGTTAATCCGTCTTAGAAAACGTTCCAAATTGGTTTAACGAAGCTTATTTGCCATAATTTATTTGTTACAAGTAGCGAAATCTATCCTTTTGTACTTTATATGGCGTGTGGGGGGATGATTTTTTATAAAAAAAATTTCAAATTTTTGAAAAAAAAAATTCATTTTGTTTTATTTTTTTTAAATTTTTTAATGTTATTACTGCTCCATAAACCTTAATAGGCAGTCGGAACATTCAAGGCTTCGCCCTGATGCGAGCAGTCTTGTTTAAAATAAATTTCCTGTTAGAGCAAGTTCCTCCCAGATTTTTCGCTGGTTCTGTTTTTAAGCAAAAGCGCAAAAGCGCTTTAAAAATAACACATATAACTTACAATTTTATCAAAAAGTCATCAGAAAGGATTTCCATGCTTCATTGAGCAACTTTCCCGAAACATCGGGGATTTAATCAGTTCTGAACGACTTTGATATTTACACTTGCTTTGCTTCCATTAGTGATCAAGCCTACTTCACAGCTAGATACTAAATTTACTGTCAAGGTTTCTAAAGTTACCCATTGATACTTTTAATCAAGTTATCATTAATATTCAAGAGCCTTTTTCATTATCTCTCAATTGAGATACTCTCAATAGCGAATTTGAGGTGTAAATCAGTCACATTTTCCGCTTTAATTAACTTCATTTTACGCTCTATTTTTCTCAATTAATTTTTAATCACAAATAAATTTTTAAAAATTTTATTCGGAATATGAAGTTAAACAGCAAAAGTAAAAATACTAAAAAAATGTAAATTTTTTAAAATTTAAGTGCGTTTTAGGAAGTGTTTTTTAGTGTCCATTTAAACTTAATTTTCTCAGACTTGAAAGATTTCACTAGAAACCAAGTCTAACAACTCGAGCAAATTTATGCAAATATTGAAGCCACTTTCTAAATCATTTTGGGGAAATTAAAAGCTTTTAGGTCCATTTCGTGGGCGGGTTTGAGTTCTCTGATAATTCAGAGCATATACTTTTAATGTACCGCACTCTAATTGAAAAAGTATTATAGTATATGATTGATTTTATTGCCTCTCTTTAGGAAAACAAAAATGTATCCTGTCTGAATTGTTGTTATTCAACTAGAGCTAATTGATTTTGAAATCAATAAATTGCCTAAATAGTTAAATTAGCTCCAAAAATAGCTGAAGTGCTTTTAAGGGTTCATTCAAATATCGAGTTTACTTCATAAACACTTTTTCACTTCCTGAAACAAGGGCGTTGACTTTCGAAACTTGAGTTTTTCTTTTTGAGATTTTGAAGAAAAACATAGTACCATAAGCAAGGTCTTAAGTCATCAAATTCGACTTAATAATTAGACCTAAAATTTTTTGCGGGGAATCCTTGAAAAATTAATTAAAAATGAACTTCAGATTAGATTCGAGTTTCAAAATTTTGGGTGGTAAATCAAACCGATAAGCATATCAACAGAGCGGATGTTTCAAACATAATTCATTTTCTCATTTTTGATGCGTCAACTGATATTTCTTCAGCTTCATTTCACGCTGTGAACACTAATGACAAAATGTGAAATGAATTCGGAAATTATGATCAAAAATGGGCTGGGCTTTTGCTATTTGAAATGATTTAGTTGAGAATGTTGCGTTACGTTCGGATAAAAATGGGCGGGGTGAATATTTTTTTTGGCAAATATGGTAAGATTGATTTGTTCAGAAATATTGATAATAACTGCAGTAGGCATATTTTTGTCGAATTCGACCTATCATACATCATTTTTAGACAGGGGGCGGGGTTATATGCCAATTTCAGAAAGGGGTTGGGTAAATGGGGGCGGAAAGGCGGAATAAGAAATGATGATGGTGGAGGGTGATGGTTGTGATGTTTCGGATGGGACCACGCCCTACTCGCCAATCCCGGGGGCGCCAATTGTACGTGTGTTGACACACGCAATAGCCCGCTGACAAAAGAAACAATTCGCAAATGAATAATGAGCCTTTACTGGTTAATAAACCTAATAAAACTCGACCGAATTACC